ATTAATTATAGATATATCATTCATGTGAATATGACTGAAAATTTTCATTTTTTCTGAAAATGTGGTGTCTATTTACTTGTGACCACGCTGTGTATCTTCTGTTTACTCTATTAGACCAAAAGTATGGAGAGTTATGCTTTTATATTCCTTGTACATATAACTTTCGCGAAAATTCTGAAACCTATAAACAAATCTTTATATACTTTTTATTCTAATATAAATATTAAACAGTATGTTTTGTATTTATATTTATTAACACCCAGTCTGCAAGTCAATAAGATCGAATTCGGGGACCGGGTGCCACAGTTTAAGATATTCAGATTAGAGCAAAAACATTTACTCGGATAAAGGGCTCGATCTATTAACCTAGAAAAAAAAACTTTACTACCAAAATAATTCATCTCTCAGTAGTGTTTGGCCGACCAAAATGCCGAATTAGGGGGTGTTTGGACTGTGTTCCTCTTCCACAAAATAGTAGAAATGTTCATGTTCAGGCAGATACTGGACTTGGTCACCTTACAGCAAAAAATAAGCTTTATTTACCCTTTTTGCAGTCATATCTGTCAACAGACCGGGTGGAAAAACGGCTTCATAGATCCGAGGAATCGGATCTTTTATGGCTCACTATGTGCGGCTACTGCAGTGTCTTGTGTAGAATTTTGGATTTGGGTGTGATTTTTACTCCATCATAGCCTGGAAACTAGTGCGAATTCGGCCATTCAGATTCCAGATATCGCATAGAGTTAAAATCTTTATTCAGACTTGAAAAAGATGAGCGTCGCAGAAAGCTTTGGGAATTAACTCGCCAATATGTCTCCCTGACTCGCAGACTGAAGGTTAAAATGTAAAGGGGACATTCTTTTCTGAAACAGCTGTACTTGTAATTTAAGCTTTATATAAAGAGCTCCATCATATCATAGAAACATCGAAAATCTAGTAGTAGTTGTGTGTATATATATATATAAGAACTCCATCATTACGTGAAAAGATCAAAAAGCTAACAGCTGATGGACTGAAATTTCTGTTATAACTTGTTTCTAGAAATGTTTTAACTTTGTCTTTTTATGTTGGTAATTATAGCTTGTTACTCTTTCACTACCATCTCACTGTAAAAGTGAAAAAACAAAAACGTTACAGTATCATATTGCTTGAAATATTTCTTTTGCTGTATTTCTTTAAATAGATTAATTTGCTTCAACTGAGCGTTAATAGGATGAGCAAGGGAATTAGAGGCGTGGTTACGTCACATTTTAACAATTTTGATGGTAGAATGAGTTGTTTTCGTGTAGTTAATATTATTAGTCGATTTTAGCTACAACTTCTACTATTACAAAATGTAAGGTAGGTTAAGTCTCCTAATACAATCAGTCAAACATTTTCTCACACTTTATAGACTTTTTAGGAACTTTACAGTTGGATAATGACCGTCATTTGAAAAATATGATTAATCATTCTTCCGAAGCGAACAAACAACGTAATCTGATCAATAGCTTGGCTGTTTTTAGGGAATTTATATCATCTGAAACTAAGTAACATTGTAGGTAACTGGTAGTATGGTACAAATTTCCTACAATGGCGCAAATATTGTATAACTAGATATATCTTGGTGTGTTTTTCCAACAAAGCACTTCGTTTATTTTTTAGCCCAACATAATGCAGACATCTGCCCTAAATGTATTCACAAAAACTGTTCTTTTGTCTGTTATATCAGAACAACTCTGTTACACCAAAAATATTTGTTTTTGAAAAGAAAACAAAAATACTCCAAGTCATCAAAAATATCAAGTTCACCTATCTAGATGTGAATCGATAAAAAAAAATCAACGTTCTCTGTTTGAACAATAAAAAGTAAAATTTGTGTAAACCAGATAAGGACAATATAGTTGTAAAAAAAAAAGACGCATATAATAACATATAATATAACTTGTTCAATGAAAGATGTGTGGGAGGTGAAATCTGAACGATGCTATGTTGGCACTCTGTTCAGTGAATCACCAGTTATAAGCAGAAACACATACTTGTGTGAAATAAAAGTTTAGATTTGTTTGGAATGGTGTATTACATATTCTCTATTTCTATTGAGATGAGAAGCATGAAAAGCATGAATAGTGTAAGTAAAGTCTGAGTTGTGAAAAACTCTAGACTTGACTGTCTAGAAACTAAGACAATAACGAGTTTGAATAGTCATACCAATACAATGAAATTTCAATATATGAAACCTGAAAGTTTTGTTTTAAAGTAAGTTTTGGTGTTTTACGAATTTGCATTTCTAGAAATGTCTTAAGCTCTTCTGAAGACAATTCCATCTGTTCGTTCTATCGAAAGGATTTTAGTTACACCAGTTTCTTTGTTTTATTGTATTTGTTTGTTTGTTTTTCAAGCTGTGAGTTGTATCGGAGAGTTTCTGTTTAACCCATTAGCTTATCATCTTGTATACAGAGAAGTCAAAGTTATCATTCACAAAAATTAATAACTTTAAAAAACAGTAGTCCTAAGACTAATAAACATATCTAAAACAATTTTTCGTCGTTTATATATATACAATTTTTTTGCAAGTTATTAATTTACAATTACTTAAAATTTAAAATTTCATAAAAATCAATTGTTATTTCTGACTTGGCCAGATTATTGTTTTACCCATTGCATGGAGGAGGGAGGGCACTGAAGACATGTACTCCCACTTTTTTACAAAGTAGTGAAAGTACCTCTTCTTAAAAAATTAAAATTATAACATTAAAAATATAATAAAGTCGGTAAAACAGCATGTAGAGCCTAGGAATACAAGGCAGGTTGTAGTTGCTAGCATTATTAATGACTCGATTTAACATCTGAAATGCCTCAGGATGGTGTGCCCTTCCAGATTCAGAGTGATTTCGTCGCCTCTGGTTGTATGAACGTATGTGTGAGAACAAAATTCAAGAATATTTCAATGGAAGAATTGCTAATGAAATAAGGATTAATCCATTTAGTGTTGTTGAATTTTGGGGACTGGTAACTGACAGTAGAATCGTCAATGGCTTACCTAAATTGTAAGAGTGGCATACATATTATGGCCATTATACTGCAAGCTGACCTTTAAAAGTCTATACTTTTTTTATCATTTTAAGTTATTCTGAGTGATCAGTATACTAGATTATCTAGTAAATCAGAAACTTTCACGCAGAGTTGCAATAAGTTAATTTGGTGACATAAGCAAACATAACATTTCACAGCTCGTTCCTTTAGGAACGATCGGAGTGGCCATCGCCTGTAGGTTTTTAAGGATAGGACAACATACAGTGTACAATTCAAACAGAAAGTTATAATTTTTCAATTTCTTCTTGTTATTCTATAGACACAGTGGTACATAGATTTGCCACAAACACGTGTATAGAACACTTTATTTATTTGCTAGAATAAAATTAATTCAGCTTGCAACTTCTCAGATGATTACTTCAGTCATATGACTGTACAAATAGTCATTTCTCCCAAATTTAAAGAGTAATTGCACTAAGTGCCCATACGTTTGTTTCAGAATTTTCACACAGAGCTATCCAAAGGTTTTCGGCGTACAATTGGCGCTAGTTTTGAATTATTA